TAAAGGAGGTGGTGGAGGAGGAGGAGGAGAGTCGGCAGAATCTCAAGATCTGCCAGCGCCACCCCCTCGAAGCGTAGGGAATTTGCCCCGGGATTTCGGGCAGAAAATGAAAATGGGAGTCGTTCCTCCCGCACCGCCCTCTGGGGATTCCGGTTCGATTCGCTGCGTGGAGGGGGAGGGGACGAACGAATCGTGTCCCCGGGGTAGTCATGGTGGCGGGGCGGTGGCAGCAGATTCCGCCTGTCGGAATTGGCTGGAAGAAGTGGATTAAATAGGTTTGAGATTGATTTTTTTTTGCTGGGACGATTTTTTGCGAAAGGGTGCCGGGATGGTGTGTGTATCGTATTACTTTAGTTTACTTGGCGAGCGTGTTGACTCTTCCTCGTTGTTTGATTTCCAAACAAAACGTTTGTCCGAATCTCGGTCCGGGTCGGAAGAGTTTTGTGCTTGTCTTGCGCTTTTTTTTCTTCATGTGCGTCTCGAACACACACGAGGGGAACAACACCGTCGTCGGAGATATCAAGACTGGCCGTGCTCTTGAGCGCGTGTCTTGTGGCAGTGTGCCCGTAGGCGGATTTTTTTATTGACCGGAGACTTCCGGAACGTGTTTTCTTGTATTCTTGTAGCCTCTCGTTGCCTGGGAGTCCGGCTCGGACAACGAAAACGGGCGCGTTTCGAGAGAATTTATCGCCGTCACTTGTTGGCTACACTGCGGTCAATCTTCTCGTGAGGACAGCGCTCGTTGGTGAGGAGCAGGAGAGGGTTTATTCAAAGGGTACTGGCCGTCATGCGATCAACAAGTGGGTGGGTGTGGTGATGTTTTGGTGTTGTTGGTGGCTCTATTTTGTGGCCGGGGTGTTGTTTTCGAGTGGGAGAGTTGCCGCTTTTACTCCCGGGGGGGAGGAGACCGGCAACCACGCAGTCAAGGTGTCAAGCCTCTTTTCGGCACACGGTAGTACGGATGTTATCATTGTCTCCGTCGCACACACAACACGGGCAACAGGATGCGATGTGACATACATGTCGCAACTCTCCTTTCTTGCTCCATGATTCCTGCTGTTCATGATTCCTGATTCCTGCTCCATGAGCTCTTGCTATACGTAGACTGGGTACAAAGTGTAGACAATGAAATGGTTATTCTGCTGATGATGTTGGTTGCAGCATGTTCTGCTTGGGTTCTGGCGGACCAGCGTGCAGATGAAGCCCACAGACCACTTTGCGTGGGATGCAGCCTGGAGAGGTCATGGAGGGATATAAATTACCCGCGGGCACGCTGGAAATAAAGCTGGAACGTGCGGCGTGGGCAGGCGAAGATGAGAGGCCTGAGAGAGATGAACACTCGGTAATCGAGCAAGAAAACCCCGCCTGCTGCCTTTGGCGACGTGCATGTGTCAACACGACGTGACACGGAGCATCAGCAATCATCTCCAGGAAGGCCATCCAAGGGTGGGTCATGAAAAAAAGAACATGCTTCTCGAGAGCGGGAGGCAAAGATGGCGAATAAACTCAGTGCGCTGTGCATCAAGGGGTTTCTTTCCGGGAGGAAGGGAGCGGCGGAAGAGTCGCGAAAGACGATTACAAAACTTGTGTTCCGTTGATGGGCCAATTAGAAAACTGCGGGCACCCTTTTGCTGTAATTGAGCAACCCGGGGGGAAGATAGTAGACTAAGCAAACGCGGAAGAAACGCACAGTCACTATTTCGTCGTTACCAAATTAGTTCTAGATGCCTGAACAAGCCCAAATAAAAGACAGATAGATAGGTCAACAAAACAAGGATCGATGACGATCGCAAGGGTAAGATGCTAGCAAGCGCTCCCCCACCAGTAGAGGGGCCACACAAAATAGAATCGAACCGTGCATGCGATGTGTACGGTGAAAGACAAGTCGAAATTTGGCCAACTGTCTTGACAGGAACATAGATCCCTCTGCTCTCTTGCTTCCGCCCCCCCATTGAAACGAAACCCCATCACAACCAACAAAGGCGCTGACTAGAGACAGCATTGCTCTACACGCCTTTTCTATTTTACCGCACGAACCACAGCACCAAAACATCACGAGAACGCTCAACAAGACGCAAACACCTATAAACCGACCGTCAACACCTGGGATGATGGGAAGAAGCCAACGAAACACAACAAAAGAGGTGGCTTACAAAAAATCTCCACAGACTCTCACCCTCCGCTGCAAACACGTGGCAGGATGCACGGGTTGAAAAACACGCCAAAGCCATCTCATCTCGCGGGTGTCCAGAACCCCACTGCCGCAACAAGAGATGGCGTTGAGTAGAAATCCAATGGATGCGGTGCAACCACGGGGTTCATCTCGAGACCAATCACCTCCGACCTTAAACTATGCGGATCGCTCGATAGCCCCCACGTTTGAATGAACCTGCGCGAATCTTTTTGACCGTTGCGCTCTGCTACATCCCACAACACACGTAGACAAAAGATTCGCGCTCTGATTCCTCCCCCCCGCTCGCGAAGCTCTACGGAAACCTGTGCTCGCGAAGGCGGTAGCATTCGATGCTTCTTGGTGCACAAGACTTTTCATATCTTGATAAAACCACACACGGAGCCCCTACGATACAAGGAAAACAATTACAATGAGACCAAGCCCCCCCCACCCCCCCCATCGAAATACCAGTACCGCACGACTTGCCGCACATTCGCTCAGCGCGTCATGCCACACCATCTGCTCCAGCAAATGCGCCCCAATTGACGGGGCGGGAAGGGTATCGCGTCTGTATTGGCGCCACTCCACCCTTCCCCAAGCCGGCTGAACGCCGCACTTGAACACACGACGCGCCGTCCTGATCTGTGGTCCAGTTCAGGTTCTGTATGCCAGTATCTGCATCGTCTGCAAACCCTCCCCTCGCTGACACCGGGTATACTGCGCAGCTGCCTCCCCCCCCCCCCCCGGCCGCCCACAAAAAACCATAAAACCCACCGGAAGAAATTTGAACCCCCAC